TAATATAACTTCGCTCTCTCCACCCAAGGCATCATATTGACCCGTCATACACGATTGTAATTGTATATGTGACTCAATAAATATGATTATACTAACACTACTTATTTTAATCACTCACCTCACAAAAGTCACCAATTCTGGCATTATATACTACAAACTACTCAGTGCCATCAAATTTCACATTAGATTTGGAGTACAAAATGGAAATTATATAAAAAAATGAAAAACCTATTTCCAAATTAAATTGTTGAAATTCTTTTACCAGTTTCGGAAATATAATGTTTATATGAATAATTATTCAACGAGTTGTTCAAAACGATATCACTAAATGTCATTGACAAATTAAATATATGGTAGGCTTACTTATATTTTTGTATTTGTATAATTATGTATTGCCTTAAATAAATAGTTAATTGACTTTAACATGTAAGTTGTTTTGTTTAAAGTGCTTAATTACTTGTAGTAATAAACCTCATATTAAAATTCAATCATTACGCATAATAAATTAACACCTATCGCTCGAGATTTGGGTATTAAAAGGAACACAAGAAATAACTCATTAAACTACCGCAGAAGCACTGAATTATGCCCTGGATTAGCAATAGCAATACATATGTAAAGCAGCATAATGATATTTCAGATTGTACTTACCTGACGACAATGCGTCTGTTACGTATGTTGATGTCTGAAATACAGAGCTTACTTTGTAAAAGGTGTCTTTGATTCATTTTGTGAATATACTTTGGTAGCTCAGGAAGCTCTGGATCATATTTGTAACCTTTAGAACCTCTATAACGACGGCGTTGAAACATAATTGTGTATCTTGAACAAAACTGCGACTGAGGTACGATCCAAGCAAGCCAAGTCTGATAACAGTAATTCAATTGTCCCTCCTGAAGCGTCATTTTACGTCATACACTTGAGAGCCAATGAGAGCAAAGGAGTCAATTTCTGACGCGGATATGTTCCATTGTATATTGAATTCATCTTGTCAATTTGTTGAAAATTTTATGTTATATTAGTTAGGCATATAATACCAGACTGACAATGAACGACTATTTTTGAAGCCGGGTGATTGCGCCCGCCGCCATTTTGTGTTACTACAGTTTCACTCGAAGGAATATTGCTGTACGTCAATGGCCTCCAAGAAAGTCTATAAACCTATGTTGTTAATAGATTGCTGTTCAGAAAAACTAGAATATTAATTGGAAAATATTATTAAGTAAACAAAACATTCGATATCAAATATTATTATTTTTTAAACGCTTTTAATTTTTGGAAATGGTCTTGGCTCTCCGGGTGACGCCGCATCGAAGGCATTGTGGGCATTGGAAGGCAGGCTGTGGTTGCCGACATTTCGTCCATCTTTTCGTGATCTTCCCTGAGGCTTGTCTGCAGACAGGGCTGCTCTCTGATAACAGAACTCGTATTTTCATTATTTAAATCGTATTTAAAAATTAACTCCACTCTATATCTCGACGAGCATATTGACGAAATAAGTGTATGTAAACAACCTTATAGATTACATTCTCTGTAACTTTCATCAATGTGCGTACACAGGGGGAGTTACTTGCGGCAAAAACAATTTATGGTATTGCAATCATTCGATATCTTGAAACGCACAAGTAATATTTTCAGGAGTTTGTGTATACTCATTTGTAACACCGAAACGAATTTGTAAACTAAAAGAAGAAGGGGAAGTTTAGGGGAAATTCTTTCGACAATCGAGCCCTTCTCGGCGTGTCATTTTACCAGATAATTTCTTGGCATATATAGGATTATCAAATTAAGCATTTCGCCATTTTTAGATATTTCCACGACAAAATTCCCACGTCACGGACGTCATGTCACGTTTTTCGGCTCCGACTTGTACTTTAGCTAAAACACGAAGGTTAGACTTTTGTAATGCTCCTACTACTAAATGTGTGAACTCTAATGCGACAAAAGAAGTTTGACTCCAAAAGTTAATATCTTTCAGGGGAAAAACACCCATGCCACAATCAACAGGACCTCGCCATCCGAGTTGAAGGGTCAGAGTGCATTACTGATAAATTTTAGATGGATACCTTGGTTGTTTGTTGCGTTACCGCACCAAAGGCTGTGTGTATAGCGACTTGTAAACCGTGGTGTGTTGTAGGTCGTAAGTAGCAATTTAGCTCTGTGACCGTGTGGTGACGGAGGGAGGGATTTCAAACGGACGGAAAGTTCGGCACTGGGTGGTCCAACGGCGTGGGCTCCCGCGTCCCAGATTTGATTTGGGAGGTATTTTAAGCGGCCGTATATAGGACCTATTGTTTGAAATATTTTTTTTCGATTCATGGTAGATGCTGCAATAAAAAATTGATCCCAATAAGTGCCATAAAATGGGTAAAGTATATTAAAGGCACATTGATATACTAAAACACTGTCATCTATGTCACGAAAGAAATACAAAAAGATGACGTCGATGAAGGGATGTGATGTGAATCTGTTTTTTATACGTAAGATGGAAGTAGTAACTGATAACACAAATAATTTTTTTAGATGCCTTAGCACAGGAAGTAATGAGTGTCAAACTTTCAATTATTCATTTATTTTGTAGTCATACGGAGCAATGCATAGTGAATGTGCATAAGGTTACTAAGTGACTGAATATTTAAGTGAGCCTCTGTAAGTAAGCACACAATCTTGCACAAAGCAAAGGTGATATTCATTGCCGGCCTGGATAGCAGAGGCCGCGAGGGTTCGAATCCCGATTCGAGCGTAGCTGTTTGTGTTATCCTTACGTGCCGTGTTCCCCACTACAGTTACTCCAATTTAAACAATCAACATGGTCACTACACGACCTAGTATTTTAAATGCGATCTTTAAGAAATAATAAGTATTTAAAAAATCCATAGGTAAGAAAACGCGCGCGGGTTGTACTTTTTTCCCTTTGTGTGCGCGTCAACGGTGCAATCTCCACGATAGAAGAGTGCAATATCCACGATAAACGCCTATGGGGCTTATCCAAAGCACTAGGGCGGCAACCAGGAGTAAATCACCCCATTCAAACCAACGCGGACACCCCAAGGCTCCCTGGTCAACCTCCTCCAGCACCAGTGTATGTGTGGGACGACGCTGCAAAAAGCGAAGTCTTTGCTGACTCGCTCGAGCGGCAGTTCCGAC